CCTAGACTACTGGTTTACACTCTTGAATTATCACAAACATATTCATAACCAGATTACTACTAAAGCTACAAACCTAATTAATACTATAAAAAACAAACAATTTATATAGTTAACATGGTACTCATACCTTGCTTCTTGTACAGAACATTGAACACATTCATGCACCAAACCACTATGCAAGGCATAACTAATTTATACATGCAAGTGGTAAAACACAAAGCTAAACTTGCCTTAACAATACCAAACTCTACTATACTTCACTACCAAATTTACAACCTTCATAGCTTAACTGATATTCAAATACAAAACCATATCTTATTACTTTATATGAACTAAACAACCCTCTAACAGCCCCATCAATCAAAATTATAATCCAACATCTTCAGAATGCTACACTTTTATCTAACAATATTTTATTTACTTCTAACTATATACTATTTACTAAATTTTACAAACACTTACAGCCCAAACTATTTAAACAGCACATTAGCTTAATATTAATATAAATAATCTTTTCAACTTCTGGCCTATACCAACTATATACAAAGGCACCCCAATTGATATACTAATTAAATTTTACAACAAATCAACACATATTAAATTATTAACTAACAAAGCAAACATCTATGCTATTGAACAACTTACTAATCACACAAACATACAACTAGTTCTATGGCAATGTATTGCATATAAAACACTTATGATACCTAGAGGTAGAACTCCAAAATGGTTTTTTGAATTACACAATATCTTCTATGCATTTACAATACTATTTATTTCTACTATTACTTCTAACCCATTTACTACAAATTCTATTATACTAAAAAGAAGCACCTGAGTTCTAAGAAAAACCAACAATACTCAGATCATAGACAAAATACAAAAACTATTTACACAATTAATACAATATATATTAAACACTATTACTTACTACCACCAAAGCTTCAATACATAGCCCTACTGTTGGAATGTCTGAACTGCAAAAACACTATTACTACTACTAAACAGCAATGTATAATAATGCTTAAAACATCTCAGTGCACTGCTATCAAAGTGTCTAGCTCAAAATTTCTCTATACAAACATCCATAACCTAGCACAACATCATTCACATTTTACAACACAAATATTACCATAGCATCAACATAAAACATCAACTTTATATCCTACTATTGCTTCAACCAACAAATATAATTCTCAGCTATCAACTACTTTAATATCTACAAATAACTTAATACACTAATTGCTTTTACCAAATACATTTAATACACATTTATCTTATCATTCAACAATTAACTCTCAAGCCAAAAAGCTTTAATTATACCTTCATGCAACCATAATCCAGCTGAATACCTCAAGCTTACAGGCTCAATTTGTCTGAACTCTTGCACCTACTAATATTATATTCTCTTCTCAAATTATATACTGGCCATCTATTACACAAGCATACCTTATTGGTATTATAACAATACTAACTATTGCTTCACAACATTGCCAAATAACAGTCTTTATGATACACAAATCAACAATTAACTATATTAACTCACTTTTTATGCCAACATCAAACATAATACTCATTTTACAAAAACATAATCACTGGCTACTCAAACTCTTAACACAAACAATAATTGCTTACAAACACTTCAAAATCAAATGTATTAATATAAAGAACCTAGATAATTACTCTTTTTACAACAGAACAGTTCATCTTTTTACTACAACACAATAATCTAAACTTTATATTCAGCCTCATGTCTTGGACAACAACAACTTTTATTTTACTTGAAATGAAACACCAATAGAAAATAAAACTTGCTGCTTCATTTGTCATCTACAAAATGCAACTAACACTGCATAATGACATGCTTTAAATATACTAGCCATTGGAATACTATTTATTAAAATACCAACTAGGACCTGATATACCAATTCATTAATTACAATAACAAACCTAATACTCATGCTACTCATCCTAAGCACTCACAATTAAAAAGCTTTAAAATCAAGTTTCTACTAAATAAGCTATCTACACTTTTAAATTTATACTACAGAAAACCTAAAACTTATACCAATCCATCTTGCATTCACTGCACATTACATATAGAAGATAACTTACACTGGTTTGAATGTTAATCAAACTTTATAACTCTTAATCAGCAAGTTTAACAAACTATATACAAGTTTTGTACAAAACACAAAATAGAAAACAGCAATATACCTGTCCTATTGCAGCAATTCATTTCAATACAAAATACTACTCAACACTTTTGTCAAATACAAGGTCTATTTCCAGATGATATATCTACAAACTGCAACATACTTCAAGCCTACTTGTTAATCTATTTCACAAAATATCAAGTAATATATACAAGCAAATTTGAACAAAAAGATGCAAAGCAGTGCATCAAAATAATTTACTAACAAATACACTTATAGTAACAGCATTTGAACATCTAGTTACAGATCAAGTAGCTAAAACAAAATATGAAAAATGGGCAAATATTTTTTCTACTACAAAATATCTACTTCTTATATAGCAACACTAAACCTAAAAGAGGTTTAATAGTCTACTCTAGCAGAGTTTGGAGTTAAGGATAAATTAGTTCTAGCTGTAGGTCTCTGTAATAAATTATGTAAAACATTTTAATTAATTTAATACCAAATTGTTCAATAAAGACCAAGGCCAAACCTCATTCTATAAAAAAAAATAAAACATAAAACTGATAAAACTAAGACAAATAGTGAAACTCTTGGTAAATGGCAAAACCCTTGGTGAATTGCAAAACCTCAGAGAAAGATGAAGTTCAAACTCTCAGCAAGTTTAATTCTCTAAGGCTTTGAAAAAAACTGAGTCATGTTGAAGAATAAAATATTGTATATATTGACTAAGCATTGAATATAATTTATATAAAAATATATATATAATAACTCATATTGTTATATTTAGAAGACTGCAACTCAGTTACTCCACAATCCAATATCTTATATAGCATATGATATATAACCTTTTCAAAGAAGAGTGTTAGATTTGGCTGGTAGGTGATTAAGACTTTCGATTACTTTGAGTTAATGAATACAAGTAAGACAAGTCATGTAAACAAGAACTTGCATAAATGATGATGTTTATAGAGGTTTACAGAGTTTATACTAAGTATAGTGTTAGGGTTTTATTATGGGTAATTACAATATATTAAGACTTGTTTATTACTAAAGCAAATAAGACATGTCATCTCTTAGAGCTATTTCAGTCTTTATTTATATTATCTTTTTAACTATAACTTATTTAATTACATTAATCTCATCCTAGAGATGGAACACTGTGCAGCCTGTGCAGACTGTACAGATATTTTTTGAGGCTGTGCAATGCAATTTTCATAATTCTGGTCAGCTTTATAATCCAGATTTGAATTACCAATTGGAAATTAGTTCAGATTATCCTAATCTGCATTACTTAATTAATAGAATTCATCGTTTATAGTTCTGGTTAAACTTGCAGATTATTTGATCATATTTAAAGTTGTTTTGTTCTAGATTTGGCCAAATGATTAGCAAATTTGACCAGAATTATCAATTTACTAATATACAAAGAAAAAATGGAAAAAAATACAAAACAACAAAAACTGATATTTAAACTAATCTCAGAGCATTAATTAAAAATGATAAGAACCCAACTTTACACATATAAAGTAGATATTTTATATATATAAATGTGAAACCTAATGAGTAAAAGTCTCTAAAGACTTAGGTTATATAGGCTGTGCAGGCTGTGCAGGCTGTGCAAACTGTGCAGTAGTTTTAAAAAAACTTTGATTTTTCTATCTCTACTTATATCTCTATTTAATTTGATTTCTCTAATTTATTTACTTATACCCATTTACTTAATTAATCCTCTTTTTCTAATTAATCCTCTTTCTCTAACTAATCTCACTTTTTTAATTTATTTAATTAATTATATTAATGTGATTAATTACTAAGATATCTATATTAAGGAATTGATCAGCTTTCATGTGAGGTCCTAGCATCTTAATTTCATCATGTTCTTTAATCTAACAATATGCATACATGCAATGCTTAATAGTTTTGGGTTTGGAATGCTGCAACTCAGTCACTCCACAATCCAAGATCTTATTTAACATATGGTAGGTAACCTTTTTGAAAGAAGGTGCTAGATTTGGATAATGGGTGTTTAAGACTTAATTCAATAAAGGTCAATGTGTAAGGCACATGAACAAGAACTTGAATGAACAATGATGTTTATAGGAGTTTACAGGCTTTATACTGGGTATAGTATTAGGGTTTTATTATAAATGATACAATGTATTAGGACTTATTTATTAATAAAGCAAAAGAGACATTCTTTTTTTCTCTAAAGGCCATTTCAAGCTTTATTTATATTATCTTTCTAACTATAACTTATTTAATTACATTAATCTCACTTCTCTATTTTCTTTATTTAATTCGATCTTTCTAATTTATCCACCTAACCCTTATACTTAATAAATTTCTCTTTGCTATTAGATCTCCTTTCCTTGATATATTTTAATTAATCGAATTAATTTGATTAATCACTGGGATATCCTTATCAAGGAATTGATCACCATACCCACTCTCACGTGAGGCCAGTATCTTAATTTCATCATGTTATTGGGCTTACAATAGATACATACAATAATTCTTTCTCCAACATGACTTAGTCTTTTCCAAAGTTTTAGAGAATTAAACTTCTCTGAGGGTTTCACCATTTGCCAAGGGTTTCGCTATTCGTCTTAGTTTTGCCAGTTCCGTGCTTCGCATTTGTGAAAAACAGTTTCATCTAACAACTATATGACAGAAGACAGTCACAGAAATTGGTTGTTTTTTTATTCTTAATAAGATCGAGTTTGGCCTGTCAGATGACAGTCAAATCTAGTGTAAGTGGCCTATTGGGACGGTAGTCATGGAAAAATTCGCATTCAGATTAACATTGCACACGGTACGCTTTATTGACACGTTTATTTACACTTATGTGCTTTTATTAGTATTTTTACTTGCACTTTTGCACTTATTTGCACTTTAACGATACTCTTGAATTTTGCGTTGACTAGGAGGTTTGCACGAAGCAGCAGAGACAGAATACCCATAATTGTATTTCATTGTATTTATTGCTAAACGCCTCCTCGATGAGAAACAAAATGCCTTTTCCAGTTTTCGTCAGTTTCGTCACTTTTCGCCAGTTTCTCCACCTTTCGCCAGTTTCGCCATTTTGTCTTTTTAAAATTTTTTTGGCGAAACCTCTATGTTTCGCCTAACAACTATAGTATAACCAAACTATGCACACGCGGTAAAAGTTACCTTTACTAGCAAAAATAATAGATTTAATTATCAAAAGGGAAACCAAAATTTTAATTGGTTACAATACTTATTAGTTTATCCTAATCAAAGTACCGTTCATAGGTTTAGCATGACAATCTTTTTTTTTTTTAAAAAAAAAAGAAAAAATAGTACCAGGAAATAAAAGTAACATAAGCATTTTGTAAACAATAAACATTTTCAATTAAATTAATTGGGTAAAAAATTAGTGTCTTGAATTTCGCATAAAAACTCTTGATAAAAAAAATTTTCTTCAGAATTTTTATATTAACTGTCAAAATTCGGTAACCAGAAATTTAAATACCAATTATGTAACTGAACTTGGTTGTTATACTTCATACCAAGTCTACAAACAGCTGCCTTAAAATCAGATATGTACTCAAGATAAAATTAATTGATATTTTATACAGAAATTTACTATCAAAGTTGACATAAATATTTTGTGTTCAAGAAAATTTGAAAACTGTTCTATGATTTTGTGGTCGCAGAGGATCGCATCAAATAAAAATCATATGTAGCAGTCTAACTCTTCGCTACCGAATACCATTTCTGACAGTTTTTGAGCAATTTTTTGCGTGTTGATGAGCTTACTAGTATACATGTGATCCGGGTGTTTTTTCTCGGCGATTGAAATATTACTTATTATTTTATCAGCTTTTAAGAATTGATTTTTGATTTTATTATCATTTAAATTTAATTCATTAATCCAATTTTTAAAAAAAGACTTAATTTTTTCAACATCAGGTCTTTCATTAGGGTCATCATCCATACATTGATTGGCTAGTTTGATGTAGCATTCTGGAGTTCCTGGTGCGAATTCAGGTCGCAACCCGTTGCAAATCCTTAATGAGAGACCAATATCGAATGGCTCACCATCAAAAGGTCTTTGTCCAGTTGTTATTTCAGCCATGATAACTCCTAAGCTGTAAACGTCTGCTTCCTGTGTAAATGGTTTTCCTTGCATGACTTCTGGAGCGATATATGGAATGACCCCATAAATTTCACCTTCTTTCTTTTGAAGTTGAATTGAAAGACCCAAGTCCGCAATATAAGCGTTATATAATGCATTTTGTAAAATATTACCACTATGCAAATCTCGATGAACAAGATTTCGAGAATGAATTGCTTGAAGATCAGAAGAAATGAAATGTAATAAGTTTAATTTATCTTTCCATGATAATCGTGACACTTTAGGAAGATTTTTAAGTAGAGAACCCATGATTGCATAGTCCAAAACAAGGATATAATTCCTTCATTATCACTTGATATACCATGGCATTTAAAAAATAAAGGATTTTCCTTTCCAATTTCATAATAAGCCTGCAACTATAATATAAAATACATTCAATTAAAGAATATTATTAGTAATAATAATAATAATCAATAAATTACCTCATTTAAGAAACTTTGAATTTGACTTTGTGTTTTATGAATTAATTTCAATGCAACATCAAATTTCCATTGAGCATAATATATAGTTGCTTTACCTATCTCGTTAATATTTTTGAATTCACTATAAGGAATCCATGTAATTTGATACTTATTGTTAATTTTATTCATTCCATCAAGATTACCTATCACCACGGATTTTATAAAATACTCTAAGGCCTTGTTTTCATCCTTTTCAACACCAATTCCTTTCTCATAACAATATCCAACATTATATATTCCATCAGCATACCCTATCTCTGCTGATTTTTGATAATAATCGAATGCTTTACATTCATCCTTTCCAACACCAATTCCTCTCTCATAGCAAAATCCAACACGATAAATTCCATTAGCGTATCCTATCTCTGCTGATTTTTGATAATACTCGAATGCTTTATGTTCATCCTTTTTAACCACAATTCCTTTTTTACAGCTTTCTGCAGTTTTGTAATAATGGTCACCTGCTTTACGTGCATCATTTTCAACACCAATTCCTTTCTCATAACAATACCCAACTCTATATATTCCATCAACGGACCCCTTCTCTGCTGATTTTTGATAATATTTGAATGCCATTTTATCGTCATTATTGACATATTGATATTCGAATCCAAGCCTGTAAAGCTCTGCGTCTGTTTGGTTCATGGTTGTAAGTTAAAAAAAAGACTTAAGTGTCTCAATTTTACGCCAGAAATTAATATAGCTTTATTTAATAACATGCTTAATAATATGCATGTTGAACAATGCTTTCCATAAAAGCAAATTTAATTTCTTTATTAAATTTCACAAGTAACCTTTGTGTTCATCTTACATATTAAATTAATGAGATAATTGAAAATCAGGAAAAATATTATTTATGAATTAGGAGAAAATGCTTAATTTGGATGATACAATATAAATAAAATAGTCGTTATTTTCGATCAAAACTTGACACTTTAATATTGAAACATAAATTTATATTGTGCAGTCGATTGATAAAAAGTTCAAACTTTATTTGAATTTATTTTATTTTTTGGTTGTCTAATCAGTGTTTAAAAATGTTAAATTATGCAAGGTTTGACCATTTTTTAAGAGCATGATATTTTTAAAATATCTTATCAATTATATTTTTTTACATTAATATTCTTGATTATCTTCATTATAATAACCAATATAAAATTCAAGTATCGTAATTTATT